ACCACAAGACTTCAGAAATGAAGGACCACTGTTTCATCTTCAAATGAGGCCAAGTCAATTTGGCCTCTTGGGGTCTCTTGCAGAAGACCACGGGATATGGGGAGGTACTTACAATTCATGGAACTGCAGGATGCTCAGAATGAATTGCCGTATATGCAGAAGTTTAGCAAAGTGGAAAGCAAGGTGAGAGAATTAGGCCACAGCACAGAAACACCTAGTATTGATTTTAGCTACAAACCGTAGTTTGATTATGGCCCATAAGGTAGAAGCAAGATTCCCCGAGCTTGTCATTTCTCATACATGCAGCGAGATTAGGAGGTATCATCGCTGAGGAAGGAAGAGCCCCGGCACCAAGAAAAGTAGGAGAAAGAGAAAGAAAAAAAAAGTAGAATGTTTAGATTCCCTATAATAAGGAGTTAAGGGGAAAAAAAATCTTCATTTGTTTTAAAAAATATTAGAATAAAGAAAATTTTATTTTTTTCCCCAATCAGGATTGTCTAGGCATCACCCAAATATAAGGCTGCAGAAACAGCAATTGTTAAAGCGAGACAGTGTACTTAAAACATTGGAAAAAAAAGGTGACTAAACAACCCAGACAACTAAAATATCAAGTTTGGAGTGGGGGAGTGCAAAGGAGAGAAGAGAGACATAATTGGGACAGTGAAACAGAATGTCAAAGATAAAACAATCAACGACGACCAAAAGAAACCCACTACAGACGATGACATTGAAGAGAAGTACAAAACTCATTACAAAAATATACAGCCTCCTCAGAGAAGCGTGTTCCAATTGAGTCAGAAAAAAAAAATACTGGAACCTCATTCTTTTTTTTTCTTTTCTTTTTTTTTTTGAAGCAATTTNTCTTCGGACGGCACTGGCTCTTTGACTTTGAAAAGAGATGAGCACCGCCCCCTAGAGTCAGAAATGACAAGCACATATGTGCAAGGGGAACCTTTACCATTACCTTTTAGGCATATCTAGTTGGTCATTGTAGAAAGCTGGAGGAAAGCAAAAGAATTCTGTAGGGCTTGGTTCAAATGCTTTTACAAGGTGAATATTTGGCCTGATCTAACAGAGATCTGTATATGTTCCAACGGGATTGTGAAATGCAAGGCAGTTTTTCATCAGTGTTGCAACTATGAGCTTGTGAGTTTTGTACACTTGTTAAAGTACTATCATCTATATCATATGCCCAGTAGTTCTGTGCAATTCAGTTGCTGCCATGGACAGAGTTAGATGCAGCTGAAATTTGTGGTTATATCCAGTGCCATTTCTTTTTAGTAGATTGAAATGCAAAATAAATCTACACCGTAAATCTGGAGAGCACTCCCATGGGCCATTTAACTTCCTCCAAATTAAGACTTGGCTGTCCTTCCTGTACTTGAACACACCCAGCAAAGGGAAGTCTCTCTCTTGTAATTGTTTCCCGCTGTTGCTTTTGTTGTTAGAGGAAAAATGAAATACATTGAATTGAACCTGATTTCCAGTAACATGAATCCATTATCCTGTCATCAATTCAAATGGATTCTTTAGACTAATGTGGTTCAACCATTGAAACCAACAAATTGAAACATTAGGTGATTCCAAGACCTAATGTTGAATTTTTAAGATATGTATTTGATGTAACTGATGATTCAACAGAAACTGAAGAAATATTTGTTTCCAAGTAACAAGAAGACAAACTTGAAGCACAATAATTTTTCTGGAAGACATTTTCCTCCTGTCTCTCTCTCTTTCCAATGTAATAGATCGAGGCTGCATAGAATAATCCTTTCCAAGAAAGGATTGAAGGAACTTTCAGAGGTTTCAAAATTTTTAATAATGAACAAAGATACATTGATTTTAGCTAATAGGGCATAGAGTCAAACTCAATTTAGTGCAATTTAAACTGAACAAATCTGGAGCACATACATTGCAGAAGGCTGATATACAAACCGTGAACAGTTTGATAGGCTTTGATCCATTAATAGAGATGAAACAACGATAATAGAAAAAACACTAAGATTTGTATTATTATTAAACGACAGGTAAGGCAAAATGCATTACTTAAAATACATTATAATGGAATTGTGGGTGGATAACTACTGAATAATTTAGCTAAAACAAATATTTGAGAAGCATAATCTATGCTTATGTTTTGAGTTTTAAATATGTATCTTTTGTGTGCAGCCAAAGATACACAAATATGCTTTAGCACCATTAAAAAAAAACATTCTTAGATTGTACTTAAATGTGGCTTTTATTTTAAGTCCATTTGTAGCTGACTTTAATATTATATCAAGGTTTTTTTAATAAACTGGAATTGGATGAAGACCTTGATTTAGGGAGTTACATTATACAGAACTATTTGTTATTAGTTAATCTTACCTTTTATGGATAATTCTATGAATTACAGGCTGTATTTATATGGGACTGCATGGGATCAAAGTGGTCTATTCTTCAGAAAGAAGGAAGCCTAAGTAATGTACAGTTTAAGGATCAGGAGTAACAATCTGAATTATACTGAGTTTTCTCTCGAGTTCAATTATGTTCTAACACATCAGAGGCAGGGATTTGTTGAGCTAAATTGGACTAAATGGGAACATGAGAGATATCCATCAAAGAAAATACTTAAAACACAAGTACTTCTCTTTTATAAAATATGCTACACAATCTTATCATTATGCATCAAGAATGTTATAGTTCATAGTGCACAACTGATTACGCTAAAGATCATTCCGCTTAAGAGACCTTTTTTCAAGAGGAAATTAGAACTATTATACTATCAACGAACATATTTCATTAGTTCAACTGAATGTCCACATCAGGGAGTTGAGTTTACTACTTGAAATTTTATAAAGATTTTGCTAACACAAACTATGTGGAATCCTGAGGACTAAATCCTAAAAAAAATGGTGAAAGTTTAGGGAAAGTCTTTTGGACAATCTAATTAACAAGGTTTCTCCCACATTGGGATGTGTGTGTAATTTGATTTATGGAGGTTTAGTAATTTGCCGGAACTTACTTACTAGTTCTACTGTGGTTTAGTGGCTAGCAAACCCTACTGAAAGGTCCAGATAATATTCAAATCATCACTGTCTGCTTTGATGCTCATTAGAACAGCATATACCAGTGATGGCCAACCTTTTCGGCACCCAGGTGGAAATATCACACGTGTGCCCACTTGGCGGTACCACAATCCGGAAAACCTGAACTTCTGGGCTCTAGGGTGCATGTGTGCCTGATGATCAGCTGGCCAGTGTCCATGCGCAGGACAGTTTTTGGCACTACTGTGTGTGCAAAGGGGTCACACTCTGGAAAAGCTGAACTTTCGGGCTCTAGCGTGCATGTGCATCCGACAATCAGCTGGTCAGCCCGCATGTGCGGGCTGGTTTTTGGCACTGCCACACGCGCCAATGACAGTGAAGAGTTGATTGCACCAGAAACCCGGAAGACTAACAGGCAAGGCCGTGTGTGCCAGGCAACATTGGCTTTGAGTGCCACTTTGGGTATTCATGGCATAGGTTTCCCATCATGGGCATATACAGTCTACCTTGCTATTCATAAACTCTCAGAGTGGTATGGGTGGTCACTAGTGAGTTAGAGGTGGAAATAATCATACAGTACTGCAGCCTACAGGTACTCCTCAACCTACAACCACAATGGAACCTATTATAAGTCATGACAGTCATAAAGCGGCTAAGTCAAGGACTATCCGTTTATTGGGAATAGTGAAGGCTACACTGAACTCTTTGGAAGGCATTACCACTTTAGAAACGATTATTTAAAGAGATCAGAAATATTGTCTTTTCTGTACATTTTTGCCACAGCTTGTTTATATTTTGTCTAAATGGCTTTGTAAGATCGATTACATACATGGTTGTAGATTCTATAACTTACATATATAATAACCAATGTGGCCATAAAAGTATTAATCACTTGTGGGAAGACTAACATTTGAATGCAGGGGAAAAATAAAAGCAAGAAATCTTCTCAAAAATTAATATGGATTTTGTACTTGACTGAGCACACCCTGGTCTTAATTTTTACATTTTCTACCATTACTATTTTTCCACTCTCCTCAGCTAGATCTATTTTAATAGATATTTACAAATGCTTATTAACGTATTTAGCCTACAAGTAAGTTCAATAAACTTAAAATTTTTACCCATGGCACGGTATTTTGATTATCTTATAATTTTCCTTCTCTTACATTACTCAATCTATTCACTTTCTAAACTTCATTTTCCCTCAAATTACTGGCCAGTCATTACACTATATTTATATTTTCTGAATTTGGCAAAAATAAGGTTTTTTAAAATAATAATAATTCATGTACATACCAAATTCTTTCTAAAATAAGCTATATTGAAATGAGATCCTAAAATGTCCACACATTTACTATATTTATTTCAATTAGATGGAATTATTCAATCTCCAAATTTTCTTTGCTTCTCACATAAGTGCTTGACATCAGCAATTATACTCCTTCAATTACAAGTGCCTTATGTTCAGTTTGACTTCCTCCTTCTTCCTTTTGTGCTATGCTTTGAGCCTTTGTTGGCTTGCTATAATGTCAGTGAATTAATGCAGCATTGCAAAAGGGTAATGATAATCTCCACATTTATGTAAAGTATCTAGACCTGAACTAAAACATTTCAACAAGTTTCTTTATAGGTAAATGTGATAGGTCAATGCTGCCAATTTAATCAATGAAAACAAAATGGTATCTGAGAATATTGTCCAAAGGTATTTTATGTTCTTATTACATAGTAAGGTAAAGGTTCCNAGAGGAAAATCAATAATCTAAGCACATTATTTATATGGGCTAAAAGGCTTTTTCACTTTCAGACATAACAAAAGAAAAAAAAATCATTTGCTGACGAGTTTTGTCTAATGGCTTGAATAAGGTCATCTATATTTTGCAACCAAACAGAAAAAAAAGGAGGAAACTGAGTAGAAAGGTAGGTCTGCAAATAAGGCAAAGGAGAAATGGTAGCTCGTGTGAACTAGTAACATACCCTCATTTTTCCACATCTCTCAGCAGGTCCATCTTCTGCTAACCGCAAGACATAGAGATCCATGTTATATTCTCGGCCACCTCGCAGACTGAAGCCAAACCCTTTAGGTCCTCTTTCAAGTTCCACAGTGTAAAAATCTTGTTCTGGCTGAAAGAAAGTAATAAAATACAATTTGCAACCTTAACCATCAAGAAGATTTAAATTACTTACATGCAAAGAGCAGAAGAGCATTGGTCCAAATGATCAGGCTGGTTGGTACATCACATTAAAAATGAACACAGGACATAAAAAATTGAAAATGCCCCAGTATCAAATTACTTATTTTCAAACCGCAACCTTTGATTTATTCCTTAAAAATTAAATTAAATTCTTATATCAAAAGCAAGCTAGCTCCCCATTTTTAAGAAAGAAATCCTGTGGCATAGTTTGCCTTGGCGTTCTCCAAAAGCTCATTAATTAAGTCATTCAAATCTGTGATAAGACTACTTAGAAGTGCTGATGCAGCTGCTTCTTTCAGAAGTTTTGGTATAATTGTTCGGAAGGTATCCTGGTAGAATAATTGGTATGTATCCATGTACACAAATTACACTATTGCCGCCATTGTCAGCAAAGCGTATTTGCTCTGTATTTTACTGTATTTATTTCATTGTTTATTTAAAAGATTAGCAAGGTCATCCAATTTAGAGCACAATTTTGGGCGGCTCACAGCAGCACATATGTATATACATGCAAGAGACAAACTGAGAAAGCACTCAATGCAGATACACTGAACTTTCTGTGGGAAACACATACATAAATATAGTTTATACAGAAAGGGGAAGAACACTGTATACTTGCAACTGCGTCAATAAGCTAAAACTATGGGCAGCAAATAGCCTTACCTGGGAGGCTGTTGGTGCTTTGAAATCAAACTGGGATTCCTGTTTTGTTTTTGCATTGTTTCTGTTCAAAATAATAACAGAAAGAAGGAGGGAAAAAAAGATCAGATTTATGGGAGTGAAGATACTGGGAAATATTGAATGGACATGACAGCCCAGTCACTCTAAGGGAGGGGGGCATTAAACTAACCTGTTCTCCTGCGGCATTTGTTGAGGATTATGTGTAGTTGTAATCGTAGCAATTTTTTCTGCATTGGTCAATAACGTTGCGTTGGAAGATTCTGCAAAATAAAACAATGCTTTTAGCATAATATCAGATCATTCCTGTAATTAGGATAGGCGCACAGCTTCTTGTTGGCTGAGGTAACCTTTTTGAAGTTATCAAATACATTTCTCAACACTATTCATGAGGGATTTGCTCAGATCTAGCTCAGATTTCGGAAATCCAATAACAGAAAACATACTACTATACAGACGTATTTATTTAACAACACACCTATGAACACACTGCCTACAAATCTTTACTAGGAGGGAAAGGAACAAAGAAAAAAAACCCCAGTGCAATTATGAAAATCACAAGAACAATTTCTGTTCTCTCACAGTAGCTGTGAACAATGGCATGGAATATCAAATCAAGGCTACAGACTGTGTAGCTGTTTTCTCCCTACTTTTAATTTTACCCTATTGTTTAAGTCCTCTTATTTTCATGAAATGATTTCAGTACAGTTTAATATCCCTTTGCTTCCCAAGATTCTAACACAATTTCCCAGGTTTTTTCCCTTTATCCCTCACAACCTTGGATTCATTTGCCAATGTTATCATTTAGTCCAAGAGCTTACAGTGACCTATAATGTTTTTTTCAGCTGCCCTTGTCAGATATTGTATTGATTTTGATAAAATCGCATAGGTCACAGTGACCAACCTGATTAAATCAAAGAGGCAATGAAAATAGAGAAATAAATAAAACAGAAAATTCAGTATTAGTCAGTATTATTCAGTATTCCTAAACAAAAAAAAATGTTTATTATTTCATGCTCAAGTGTGTTAGTAATCCAACACAACAGGCAAACACTTGCAGTGTCACAGTAATTATCAGTAATTGGGTGAATAATGTGCAAAATAAGTAAGTAAATAAATGAATGATTATTAGCCAATCCTAGTCACAAACTTAATGGTCATTCCATACTGAATGTTTGGGTAAAAACAGATTCTGTGAACAGACCTTTGACAGAGTATCATACCCAGTCTCTAACTTAATGGTAAGCAAAGTGGTATCCTTCAGATAGGTTAGAAATTCCTATAATTTCTTGTCATTATTAATTTTGGGTATTATCTGAAGGAAATTAGTCCAAAACTATCAGAAGAGCACCAGACTAACTATTCCTACCCTAAACTGATTCAACTGCGTAATTGCTGATTCAATTGTACAGTTCAAATCGAAAATACAGATACATATTTTAGGCAAAGTGCATTTTGGTTCCTGCCTGTAATTTAACCTGGCATTTAAACCACAAAGAAGTTTGAACTACATAAAGGTATTGTAGGAAAATGTGAACTTTTACTCTTGTTCTAAATTATCTTAAGAATGTTTGTTTAGCATCTTTTCTTTCTACGAGTGAACGCTTATTAGCCTTAAATTTCTCTCAAATAAAGTGTACCCTTAAAAAAAAATTCTGAAGAGTTGAGGGCTTCGGCAAAACACAACTGTACTTTTAAAATATAGAAAACAAATAAAAGTTTTAAAGATGGAGCAACAAGTTAGAATTTTTTACAATGTTTTACAAAGTTGTATGTGGAATGTAAATTGCTATATCTGGTCTTTCATACTTGTATAGCAAAATTCTTTGGAGGTGCTTCATGTTGCTTTACTTCAGTCTGCTTGGAAAGCTTTCAGTCAGTACCATGAAGATGAATTGTTCATGGTCTTCAACCTGCTTGCCAAAAGTTTTGGAAATGCTGCCGAAGAAGACACGCGTCAGCTTTTGTGAGTGCTATGAAGGATGTGCTGTCTTCCTTCCCTGGCATGCCTTACTCCAAGCTTTGGTGAGCCATGCTGGAGAACATCCATCTCAATCATGATCAGGCTATGGTTCAAAGAACCTTCTGCTCAAATGCAGTGTCTGTACAGAAACTTCTTCTGGCTTTGGGAAGTGACAGGCAAGAGACAGCGAGAAGATATGAGGCCCTGCAAAATGCTTCAGTGAAATAAATATTCACTTTGATGAAAGTAATCATATTGTCTCTTTAATAAGGAATCTTTTGTCTAAATGAATCTAGGTCACCTTGCATAGGGCTACCAAATAGTGTTATGTGTCACATTGCTCTATTTTTACAATGCTTTATCAAATCTTGCATAAGTGTAATAAAATTACTTGAAAAGGAAAATGATTTTTCCCAATTTCTTTAGAAGTATAAACTCCTTACTGCCAACTCTGTGATTAGTCAAAGTCAAGTAAAAAAAGGTTGTGTCTGCAAATGTCTACTAAATATACCTGGCAAGACCGTATATACATGAAAAGGCAGGAGGACTATTTTGTATGAGCCTTCAAAAACTGGATTATTTTACCCATAATAGACAACTCATGCTGATGACCATTCTAGATTGAACTGCCATACGTAACCCTGAATGAAAGGAGCAATGTTTAGACAAGAATTAACATAAATCAGTTCACTGATTTCTTCATGGATGGATTTGCAGTAGGATAGAAGATGTATAAGAGAAGAATATAAATACATTGAATTGCACAGAGAATGAAATTTAGAATATCTGAATCTAATGAAAGAACATATTTGCAAGAAAATGAACCCTAAGACTTTTCATGACTATAAAATCAGCCATCAATTTCCATAAAGAACTTCAGTATAATTGAGATTACTGGCATAACATTCAAATCCTGTTTTTGTTGAGATATTCCTTCTGCAGTATAACTAGTTTACAAGAAATAGTGTGAGCAACATGTTTTCTGTATTTTTTTAAAACATTTTTGTTCAATTTGATTGGGGGGGGGGATCACTTTTTTTCCCAAAGAAGAAAATTTGAAGTGTATGTACATAGATTGTAGGATTCCTGGTTTTGTCCTCAATTGTAAAATGGTTGATGGAATGCATGAATACCCTCAATTTCACTCTACAACTATCTTTCCTGTGAACATACAGTTTTTCCAAACTTTAATTAAATTTCCCAAAGATACCCAGAGGGTTTCTTTCCAAGGGCATTTTCAGTTCTACCGTAAAAGCATGAAGAGTAATCAAAGAGGTTGCAAACTGATAAAAAGATGCGCAACAGAAAAATAGAAGTGCTTATGACAACATAAGCTAATCAACATAGCCAAAATAAATATGATGCTAAAGAGGAATACAGTCTTAGAGGCATTCTTCACTTGGCGGGCAGAAAGTGTAAATTCAACTTGTTAAGCATTGTTATATACATATAATATGGCTCAATGCTCAAATGCACTGCATTTCATCAATACCTTTAATTATTTATTTCCCAAATAAAAGCACATCTAGTAAGTATTAATGTCTTTCCTCAAAAGAACTCTGGGTGACTAACAATGACAACTTAATTTAATATTTAATGTATTAGATTTTAAAATGTCATAGCAGTAGAAAACCAGATAATGTATCTACTAAAGTTGCACATGTCAGATTGCAGAATGAAAAGACTAGCCTACAAATATATCATCCGATAATACTTCTGGTTCGTATTCTGGTTTGGGGGGCATGTCCTCAATCAGGAAACATTTTCCAAAAGCTAGAAGATGAGCACTGTTTAAAATGATAATAATTTTTAAAAGCACTGTTACTAAAGATAAAGAACAACCCTTTAAGTCTCCCTCAATCTGAACAGAAAAACAACAGGCTTAGTATAAGGCAATGTGTTTATCAATGACCTTTGTTTGCAGATTGCAAACATCCAGATTATACCGAGAAAAAAGCAAAAGGAGAAGAACCAATTATCTCCCCCTGCACAGACAACTCATACTTAATACAAAAGCAAACTCATAAACATACTGGAAGTACATACACCATCCAAACCCCCTCCTTGAGGGAGATGAATGGTCTAGAAATGTGATGGCGAACCTATGGCATGCATGTTGGAAGGGGCGCGAAGAGTCAACTCTCCAGGCATGCCAGCCATCACCCGTTGCTCTTCTGGGTTCTGGTGTGCACATGCGCGGTGGTCACCTGGTCTTCCAATTTCTGGTGTGCATGCGTGTGTGAAGACCAGTTGGTCTTCGTGCGTGGGAGTACCGAAAACCGGAAGAGCAGCTCTCTGGCGCACTTGCAGAGAAGCTGAGCTTCCAGTTTCTGTTACACGTATGTGCGCCCGCCAGCTGGTCTTTGCATACGCAAGCACACCAAAAACTGAAAGACTAGGTGACTGCCATGCATGCGTGCACCGGAAATCGGAAGTTCAGCTTCTCAGCGTACGCATGCACGCTGGGGAGCTGCTCTTCCAGTTTTTGGAGCTCCTATGCGTGCGTGCTGGGGAGCTGCTCTTCCAGTTTTTGGAGCTCCTATGCGTGCGTGCTGGGGAG